CCATGTTTTGAAGTGTTTGTCTAAGCTAGACCACCCACAACTTGAGACACTGTTGATAGCTATTTCACACGCTTACCCCATTTCACACCCCTAAATAGCTCCCTCACTTTTATTTAGTGTACCCAAATCCATTGCATATGCGTTCATGGGGTACATAAAACTATCATTCTGCTGAAATTCAACTCCACAATGCTTTAAAATCTTGAAAATTAAGATTGGAACTGAAAGACATGGCTTGAAATCCTCTACCATAGATGCTTCAAGGACATGGTTGAATATGCAAAAAGGGTATATCAATATAACCCCACGTTCGCCAATAACATATAACAATTGGGCTGTATCGTATCCAATCTTAGCAGTATCTCCCTTCGGATGTATATCACAAGCAACGATGCGGTTTAAGATTCTAAACATTGGTGTAAGGTTAATGTGAGCAATTTTGTTTTTCTCATTCTCCCAAGGGACACTCCCAATACAATTACCTCAAATAACCATCGCCGTTTTGGGGAACTACTCCTTAGTTGCATATGGAAATACAATGGAATTCTCATGAATGCTTGGTCTATCAAATTTTAATATATTTGAAATAAGATCGAGTGAAACAGTGATGGATTTCTTCCAAACCAATTACTTAAATGTCAGCTCATTCTCCTTGTACTCATTAATATTTGCATAAAATAACTTAACCAAATCAACATATGCTTTATCTTCTATATTTACATCAAATAGAGGATCTCATTTATGAGCACAAAGTATTTCAACGCAATCCACACTGTCTACTAGATCATCGAGGTAAACATCACACTCAAATAATAGAGAAAGTTTAACAATGAATGTATCATACCTCTTCTTAGCATGTTTGTCCAAAAAGAGTTTTGCATTACAAGAATTCCCCCCGTTATCCACCTTCTTCCATTTCTTTGTCTCTCCGCCCGTCATCAACAAAGCTACAAATTCATACACAATGAAAATTTCACTTTTCTATTACTTCACTTAAGGAGATTTGGGGTCTTGGAGAACTCAAACGCATGAAGAAGATTTGGGCTATTGGGAAATTTAGGGTTTATGGAATTGGGCGATTTGGAATGGGTTTGGAATATGCTGCGATTTAGGGCTAATTTAAAGGATTTGGAGATTTATTTGTATATCCTACTAATTTGATTTACGATAAAGCACCCCATTACAACACTTCTATTACTTATTGTTTGCGGGCATTTAAATAAATAAACCATAAACTGATCGATCACAACCCCACAATAGATAATTCTGCTACTTCAACTATTAAATCTGTAACTACTTGATTGACCAGTCAATATTAGTGATTAATTACTAACCCACAGAATATAGTTCTAGTACTTCAACTAATACATTTGTAACTATATGATCGAGCACTACATTTTTTGTGATTGATTGAGTTCAATTACTTTTCTTTCTTTTTTTTTAATACTACACGTTACTTTCTGAGGGAATTTCAGTAAATTTACTAATTACTGATCTATTATATTTTTTCCTCGATCGATAAAACCTCTACAGTACTTATTACTTCTTATTCAAATTACCAACCTATAACAATTTGATCAATCACTAATATTTGTGTTCGATCAAATTCTTTATGTTTTTTTTTTGGTTCAAAAATCCATTTTCCTTATGCTACACGTTACTTTTTGATGGCATTTAAGTAAATTACCATATAATGATCGATCCTAATTTACATGGATCGATTAACATGTACAGTACTGATAAAAAATATGTTGTTGTCATACATTTACCCACTTTTATTGTAAATATATCTTTAGTTTTGTAATTATCTCTATAACTACTGTACATTTCTTATTGATGTAGTAAATATCCCATTACATTTGTAGTTGTTTTCATTAATGTTCAAAAAATTTTACTGTTATTGTAATTATACCATTATTTTTGTACTTGTACCCATTAATGTCGTTATTCTCACAATAATTTTGTAAGAATACTATTATCTTTGTAATTGTGTCAATTATTGTTGTAAATCCTCTAAAAAAATATTGTAACTATACCATTTATCTTTGTAATTGTCTCATTGCTATAGTATATCTCACATCCATCATTATTGTAATTTTGTACAATATAAGTCACCAACGGGTCAATTCAATTGCCTTACTTTTGCTTTTAGACATGGCCTTTACTACATTCTTCTGCTGCCAAAATTCAACCTTGTGCAACAGCTTTTCGGGGACCATAAAGAAAAGCTTATGGGATGTACCGTAGTCTGCTCCTAGATGATAGGGCGACTTCTATTTGCTTTCCTGCTAGAACTGCATTGAAGTTGAAACATATGTGACAAAGTCATACATGTTCTTGCTGTAATTGGGCTCCTCTAGTTAGTAACTTAGTAGGTAGGCTGGTAGTAGATGAGCAGAAGCAGATTAATGCCATTTAATTGTGGGATCCATGACTCTATCCTGATTGTCATTAATGATTCGGTTGGTTGTTGAGTTTCCTCTGACTAGACACAGCAGATGACTCCACAATCAAAAACTATTTGACCCGACTAACTCGCCATACAGAATTAATGATCAAAAAACTGGTTAACTTGGCGCACTGTCCACCCTTCATTTTTCTAAACAAAGTATTCTATTGGGATGACTTGAATTTTACTCTGATTAATACTCTCACCGATATAAAATCGTTGGATTTTACTCGGAAAATTTTTCGATCCTCACTTCATAAAATTTTAACTCCATCAAGAAACAATGAGGCTTGGGTTTTTTAAATATTTGGTGAGACTTTATTTATAGTTTGATTGAATAATTAAATTATTTTGAATAGTTGTGACTATTAAGAAAAATTATTATTTGAATAGTTGTGATTATTAGGAAAATACACTACTTGAAGAGATGTGACAATTAAAAAGAAAAATATCCACTTAGAAATGTTGTGACCATTAAAAAAAAAACCGCTTTAAAAGGATCATGACGTTTAAGAAAAGATACATATTCAAAAGGTTGTTACTTTTGAGAAGAAACACTAATGATCTATTTGGTAGAAAATATAGAAAGTTATAAGAATAGAAAAATATGAAGGATAAATTTTCTATTTTTGAAGGAAAGAAAGAGGTTTTTCATATTTTGTGTTTGGTAAGAAGGATAGAAAAGTGGAAGGAATAAATTTGTTATTAATTTTATTTGGTATGAAAAAAAAATAGAATATTATTGCTAAGATAATGTCAAAAATATCCTTAATAGAATATGAATAATCTATTGACTTACACATAAGGGTTAAATGATAATTTACACATAAGGGTTAAATGATAATTAAGTATTACATAAAAGTTATGGGACCCATTCTTGACCAACTTGTTAGGCATTCTTGTCATTTTCCACCCGAAAAGGAAGGGATTAAAAACGGTGGGCGGCATTGATTGTTTTTCCATCCATTTTTTTCTTTTCCTCCGTCTTTTCTTTTTAACCGAACAAAGAAAAATTATATTTTTTATCCAATTTTTCATCCACTGTTTTTTATCCATCCTATTTTCACTCCAACCAAACATGCCATAAGAAATCTATAAATAAGACCTTAGATTTCATTCGCAAAAAACACAAGAGTTCTCTATAACGCATCTCTATTTTCTTCTCTCTCAGAATAAATACTGTTTAAAGAGATTTTTTTGAAAATTCTTTAATATTGTTAATTATTGTTTTTCATCCCCTAAGGTTTTTTGTTTCTTGATAACAACTTTGTCTGTGAGCCGTTAGGAAACTCTTACGAGTGCGGAAAATTTACATTCTAAAAAACTATTTTTAAATACTATTCATACCGCATTTGTTTCTGATAATTTTTATATAGCCTTGCTCTTTTTATAATATTCATCTACTAATGAAAAGTTTGTCACTGCACTTTTCTTGTACACGCATAAACGCATTTCTTTGGCAAATAAGTAGATTAATTATAGGGTTAATTATTTTTGACATCTTGTGGTTTCGGTTAGAAACATCTTACTTACTTGATGTTTAAAATTATGTATGTTATCTCCTCATAGTTATATACCAAAGTGAAATAATTAACGTCGTTAATATAATTAAAAAATTATCATAATACCAACGTTTTAAAATTAGACTTTTTGTCTAGTTTACTCTTGACCATAAAACTAATAAAATATGACAATAAGCCAACACAATTCAATTACACATGTCGAGTTTCTTTTTCCCTCAAGTGAGATTTTGATCCGAAACAAAAAATCACTTATATTTTTCTTACATGTTTTGTGATCTGGGACCAATGCCCTATCTATTTGGGTATCTATAATACAAAACAGGACATGTTGTAATAAGTTTATCTGACGGTCTTAAATAAACTCATCCAACGGCCACCAACATCCCTTTCAAAACCAGTCACATTGAAATTTCTCCACCCAAAATTTATCACTTCTCATTTACGTTGCATCGTATCTTTAAACATGAGTTACCTCTAATTATACCATATATTATAAATGATATTTTAGACACTTAGACAATATTTTTTTGGAGGAAAATAATGAAGACAAAATCTACAACATGTGTTTGGGTGTGTGCTCCACACTCTTTGTTAACTTAAATGATAAAAATAACAATTTCACTTTTGTACATAATTATAAAGTGGTAATGTGTATAATTTTAAACGCCAGTTAGGTAACCCAAATCTTAGGGAGGTAAAAATCAATTAACCCTCAATTGTTTTGATTCGCTACAAAAAAAAAAAAAAAAAAAACCCACTAAATTTTAGGCATTGAAATTCTAATTCTATAAAAAACAAGAGTATTTGAGTTCATAAATATTTTAAATTTGGGATAGTTCAAGTTATATGTTCTTTTAGTGGTTTCACATTACTAGTACTGTTCGAAATTTTCAGTTTTCATAGTAAAAATTTATTTCCGCACTTTGCTTGTAAAGATTGATTTTCAAAACGAATCACGTAAATTAGTATCTTTATAGTTTTACTATCTCTATGTCTCGCGCATTAAATTCATCATCCCAATTTTTGTAATTTCCTAGTGTCTTCTCTCACACCAGTTGGGGTGGATTTCTGCACTTACTGGTCTTACTGGTCCTCTGCTTTCTACTCACTGCTACCAGTATGGCCTGCCTATTTCTGTAGAACCAACAACTTTTGCCGGACATGAAGACTCTTCCCATTTCACTGCCCCATTTTCCTTTTATCTGCTTCATCCTCGTAGTTTTGGTCCATCTTTCTCTGTGTTTAGGTGATAAGAACAATCTGTCCACTGCCTGTGGTGCTCTGTTCAACTGCGGTAACATCACCGGAGTCGATTACCCTTTCCGGGGAAGTGATCAACCAAAAGAATGCGGCCATCCCGGATTGGAGCTTCACTGTGTGGATAATATTGTTAAGATAGAGATCAGGAAAGTGAAATACCGTGTTTTGGCAATCAAACAGGACACCTGGACACTTACATTAACCCGAGATGATTTCACTGGAGACATTTGTATACAAGAATTTGTCAACACAACACTTGATTACACACTTTTCGATTATGCTTCGGGTTATGAGAATCTAACACTGTTTTATGGTTGTCCACCACTTGGTATCCCCATCCCCTGGCAATTCACTTGTCCAGTAAATGGGACCTCCTATAAGAATGGCTTTTTCGAGCTGGGGGCTCAAGGTCCCGGGACTTGTCAGGTTAGTGTCATCGTACCAATTCGGACCTCATTTTTTTATGAAATCGGGGTTTCTTTTAGTCCGTATCATGTGATTGAAGAAGGATTTGAAGTGACATGGAAGGTGGATAGTGAGGCATGCAATGGATGCAGAAACTCGGGTGGGCGATGTGGATATGATCTCAATATGAACAAATTTTCTTGCTTTTGCCCAAACCAGTTCTCCGGGAACCCGACATGCAATAGTTCACCGGAGCATGGAGAGAGCTCGTTGCAAGCATCTCCAACTGTGTCTCCAGTTGCATCAGGTATGTTACTTGGAGAGAAATACTTACAAGCATTTTCTTTGATTTCTATTATTTCTTAGATCAACAATTAAGTAAAACACAATACCAATGACCAAGACTCCCAACAACCATGAATATGTGCTTTTGTGTGTACGCAAGAGTTTGTGACAATTTCATACATGACATGTCAATATGACACAAACTGAAGGGAAAATTAATGTGTTTGGATTGACTAACTATCGATATGAAATTGAACATGCACGACACAATTTACTAACTGAACATGCACGACATTACTAACTTTTTGGGCACTAAACTTGTTTAACAGATATTATATTAAATGTCTAATTGGTGTTTTAGCTTGTTGTCGTTTCATGGTTGATATAATATGAATTGTGGTTTGATTAACTTCTTTTTATTTACTTGGTTTTGCTGTGAACAAGTGAATTTTTAGTTTATATGGGCATATTGGTGTTGGGTTTGGTTTACAGAGAAAAGGATCCCAATCTTGGGTTTTTAGTATGCTGACTAATGTTAGATAATTGACACAATTAATCAATCATGTCGGGCAAAGATTTGGTGTAGTTAAGATGAACTTAGAATGACACTACACAACCATGACACCATACGACTCGACTCAATTAACACCTTTGTAGACATCAACTCATATTTTTTACATGCTTGAACCTCGTACTAAAACCTCATACTAAGTTACAAAAGTGGCAACTAAATTTTCTTCTTCTAATAGCAAATTCACATACTCAAGGGCATATGATGTTGTTAGTGAATATATCCGGATTTTGAAGGATTGAATGTCCTCAAGTGGACTTTTCGAGCGATTGCCTAAGTGTGGTTCATTGCTTTGTTTCTAGATTTCCTTTCCTTGGATGTAACTCAATCGACAAATATGAAAGCACAGAGATGGTAATAACAAGCAATCTTCAACTGTCTTTATTAAAGAGTGAACTTTTATTAACCCACACATGTTTTGGTTAAAAGAAGACTGAATGAACAATTTTCAACTCTAACATTATTTATCATAAAACTAACCTCAAACTACTACTAATAATATTGCCCATCAATCATGGGTTTGATGTATGTTCATGTGTCCATTCTGTCATTAACTGCTCTTTTTTAGTAGTATTAATTCCATCGACGGTTATGTTCTCTTTCGATGGTTCCCATTTATTCAGTAAACTCCAAATGCTAACTGCTGCTTTTTGAATCTGATGGAGCTAAAAATCTTGAAGTATGAGAGAGGGATGCTGAAGAGCTCTCCGATAGAGTGAATATGTAGATTGTCTGGATGTAGACTGAGAACAATTAAATTAATCGTAGGAATTGATTAACACGAGATTTAGTAGTTTATCAGCCGAAAAACTTGGTTAATCCACTTTAATGTAGTGTCTTGTTTCGAAAATTTGTATTGCTTGATGAGGAAGGAGACAGTTGCAGCTTTTTTGGTATACAATTGATCATCCATCCATTACAAGGTAAGGGCTTTCCTATTTATACTATCTAATAGAGCGGTACTCAAGTAATGATGGTTGGTCTCCTAATTTTTTAGGATATTAGAGAGAATATTTAGTTGTTAGAAGCTGAGATTATATTCCCCTAGGCATAATGTGACATTCTAGAAGCAAGTGACGTGACATTAGTGACCTTATCCTTGGATGGGATCTAGTGTTGGGCTTTATTCTTCATCCTTCCTCCTCTTGTGGCCTGAATTGATTTAGACTAATCGAGCTCATTTTGGGAAGCTGCTGACCTGGTTTCAACTGTGACCGAGCTGAGTTGATTTGTCCTCTCGTTCTCAAGTTGGTTTAGTCTGTACCTGAAGTTAGTAGTTTCTTTGCTACGTTGTGGATTTGTATACTAAGATGATTTTATTCTTTAGTATCATTACAATCTAAAAATTTTTACAGTAACACTTCATTCCCACCTAATTTTGCAGAGTGGCATTCTTTTTTCAAATATACCTCTATAACAAGTGTCCTTCCATTGCACTTAGCATAATACAATAGAAATAGACGTTAACGCAAAAGATAGTGCAAAGAGGTAGAGAATATGTGGATAAGGAGAGCAATGTTACATGGATATGTGGAGGTAACAACTAAGGTAACTTCAAAATGACCACCCAATTATTGGATAGATGTATGTAATTTGGATAGGCTGAATGCATAAAATCCAAAATTAGTCGTGAAAGTCATTTAAAAGACTGACCAGAGACCCCCACTTGAAGTAAAAAGCTCAATCTACTCTGTCTTGATCCATTGTGGACAAATATAAACCAAATACCTATAGTATATGCCCTATAAGAACTTGTTTCAAGCTATGAAACAGATATATTTAATTTCCTTCACCCACATCTGAACATCTCTCTCTCTCTCTCCCCCCCCCCCCTCCGTCTAAACACCCATTTAATTTGGTAGCTTTCATATCTTATTAGAAAACATATTTTATTATTTTTTTAAAAATTTGGAGTGTTGTCGAGCTAGAGTACTTTATTGAGTTAGTATTTTTAATATTGTTCTTTATTTACAATTTCTATGGGTAAAAAATTGTTGACTTAATTAGTTAATTTTGAATATTTTAGTTAGTGTTTTATATTATGTAAAGTTGTGGATGTGTGTCTCCTGAACCGAGGCGGTCCCCTACGCTCGGGTCCAATGACCTCTCTGAACCCCCCCTCCCCCCCCCCCCCCCTTTTTTTTTCTCTTTTTAAGATTTGTTTTACCACAATTTTCTTAGTTTTTATTAGAAGGGGCCGAGGGAAAGGAGATTGAAATCCCTAACCATGAATTCATCCTAGGCTTCCTATGGTGGTTCGGCATGGTTTGAGAAATAGAAGTGTACTACTTTTTCCTTCTAAAATGAGATGCTGGGTGAAAAGGTGGGTCAGAAACAAAAACTTCAGCCTTACCAACGTGCAAGCACGCAAGCTCTTGATCAAACATCTGCAACTTTTTATTTTTTATAATTTTTCCCAATTACAAATTCAATCATGTCCTGTTTCACCTTCTTTGATCTTACTTTAGTTTTTTTTGAATTTATCTTTAATTATTTTGTTAGCTTTTATATCCCGCCAATATTCTGTTTGGAAACAAATTCTAGCACTCTTAATAGAGAATTTTTAACCTTGACTCAAATTTGAATAAAAAATTTCGTTTGATACAAAACACTCCAATAAAAAACTAAAAATTAAAAGAGTACAATTTTAAATTTAAATGAGGACAAACCAAAGTATAAAATATTATCATTAGATTTTTAAAAGCCATAAATTCAGGACACATATCCATACTATGAATGGACAAATAGCAAGAGTTGATAGCTTGATGACAGTGAGGTTCAACAGAGTGCATCAAGATTGGTACGGACAATAGTGTCACGACAGAATTTCAGCATTTGATAGGCATCAGCACCATTACAGGCAATCTAGTGCCGCAGTAGGCACTAGCACCGCAAAAGGTGGAACACATCGTCAACACATTGGAAGTGGCAAAACGACACTACAAGAGTCTGGGGCAACCTTGGTGTGACTCGCCTCCTCCATTGTTGAAACAAGACACAAGGCTATGATTGCACATCCAACGAAATTGGTATCCTCAACCTACTAGACACCAATGTTCGACTAGCCTAGTGAGTTAAAAGGAGGGTCTCCATCTAGGGACATGGCAGTATAACTTGTAAAAATATATATTTTAAGTATAGATTTATAATTGGAATTAAGAAAAATTGCTCCTAAACTTTTGGTCAAATCAACAATTATTAGAATTATGATGTGAGCAATATAATTATGAGTGTTGTAATCTAAAATTCGAAATAAATCATGCAAATAATAGTCAGAGCATATAACATGTAATTTAAATAAATACAGAAAATGTATAAACATGCAATCTAAATAAATTAAATTAATCGATTTGGAATGAGCTGACCTGTAAGTTTGAGAGGCGTGTGATCACTGTCCTAAAGCGGCTGAGTCTCCTTATGTGAGGGTACTGACGGACACCAGCGACTCTAAGATCCAACCCAGACGTTTATAGCAGCACCTTCTCAGTGGTCACTTCCACTTAAAGGTTAAAATGAACTTGACTCGAATCAAGTTGCCTAAAAAAAAAAAATGATAATTGAAAAGGAAAGCCAAGTGTAAAAGAAATAGTTGAAAAGGTAGGCAAGTGTACAGAGTGAAAGGAGGAATTAGAGAGTCTCCTGGAATGAGCAATAAAAATAGACACTTGGAGAGGATTTCGTTATTTTCACTTAAGCTTTCTCAACAGCTTTTTATATAGTGAATTGTGTGTATAACGTACACATGAACTATTCAAATTTTTTTTCTTTTAGCCGTCTGGCATATATTTTCTATGGTTTTCAATGTCTTGGCACATGCTGACTTTTCAATGATTTGTAACCTACAATGATATATTTTCAATGAATTTGATTATTTGGCTTGAATAGCTATAAAATCAAATTTAAGGTCAATAAAAATTATATTTTAATATACACACTAAATAGGACCAAAAATTTGCAATTGAAATTTACTATTTAAATATAATTAAAATAGAAATTCAATAAAAGTTTTAAAAACATAATTTTATTCTTACATAACTCTTCTCAAATGAGAACTAAGCAATAGAGGCGGAAGAGCATGATTGTCAATCTCGGCTTGGAGTAAGGTCTCAAAAGTTTAGTCTGTTTGAGTAGGCCTCCCCAGTTTATGGCTCGCTGCCTACTAGGATGTGTTTTGACTATGATCCGGAGGGACCTTTAAGATAATTGGGGTTATTAGTCTAGATCAACATAGAAGATAATGGAACATGTAAATTGATGGCCATAAATTGAACTATATGAGTTTCCTTTATGGGTACCTTTACAAAGATTTTGAAGAAGGGTTTAGAGAGGAAAGGGAAGATCCCGAGTAGGAGCGTTGACCGCAATATCTTTTAGATTAAATCAAACTTTTTAAACAAATTTAAATAAAATTAAATCAGAATTAAAGATGCTTAAATAAATTTTTAAATCTATCTTGTTCTCGTCTTCATTGTCTTTTACAACCGACTCCATAAAAAATAAAAGTCAAATCTTCCCACCATCAAATCACATTGCACAAGCTTGCATGTGCAAATGTTCTATAATTTTAATTATACATTGTTAATTTTATATTTGTTTTTAGTTTATGGTTACCAAAAAAAAAATTGGGTCCTAGCAAAATGAGGCTTCTTGAGAAATGGATTTTGGAGTATTGATGCTTATTAGTAAATGATTGAACATTAAAACTTTTATGAAATTATAGCACAAAATATTTCACGCACAATATATGTGTGAGTCAACTACTAATACGAAAAAGTATATTTTTAGGTATTATATTTTGGTATAAATTTTGATTTGAATTATATATAATCATTGATCGGACAAACAAAAAACTAAAAAGCCTTTCTAGAGTCACATTCTCTTCAAATAAAAGAAAATATGAAACTAAAAAATAATTTTTTAATACGGGACTCACCTTTTTGTCTAATATTCGTCTAATATGAGGAGTGAACAACTACGTACTACCATTGTTGGGGGATGAGTCAGATTTTATTCCTTCCTAGAGACATGCACTCAAAAAGTCAATCTTGTTTGGTCACGACAACCATCTGTATCATTGAAATCATGTAGTAGTTGGAACAAGAGTAGATACACCAACCCGATGCATATTCTTCTATTGGAGATAGTGGATAAACTTTCTTTCCTTTGAGTAAATGTTCAGATATCCATATTTGCTAGTTATTGAATATTGTTTGTTACATGTTTGTGCCTACAACTTGCACATGTGATTCGGATTATCTTGCTTTGATATCACATGTTAGTCGTAATGTTACTCCATATCGATTGTAGTATAAGAAGAAAGAAAATTGTCATCAGGAGTGGCTCAAAGAAATTTAGGCCTCAAAGTGAAAATATTAAATGAGGGGTTTTTTTAGTTTTAATATTAAATTTTTTAAAACTAATTTTGTTTTAATTTATTATGTGAGAGAGAGACATCAGAATGACGTTCTCGTGTTGTCGAAAAAAATATTTTAACTTTTATTTTTTTATTTTTATCGGAGAGAGTGTTTAATTTGAATTTTTTTTTTAATTTTTTTGACAGAGAGAGAATGGGTAGGGAAAAATATGAATTGACTTTTGAGTACTTTTTATTTATTTTATTTTTTTATTTATTAGGTTTTTAATGTTATAAATTAGATTATAAACCCAAATTATTACAATAAAAATTTTGACTATACTTAATTTTTTAGGACCTTTTTTTAGGGTATAAATTTTAAAGATTTAATTTTTATGAGTTAGCAATATACCTAAAATTATGAAACTTCTAGAAATTTAGACCTAAAGTCCAAGCTTTTTTTTAACGCTGTTAAGCCGCCCCTCATTGTCACCTGATTTTCTCTCATTAAATTGCTCTCAAATCCTTCCCATGTGCACCCACAATAGAAAATTGGGTAAAATACAAACAATATTCTTTACTAAACATCGATCTCACTTTCACCCCCTCTATTTTTATGGGTTTCACTTAACCCTCTCCAACTTATGAACAAACTATAAATTTAACAAGATTCGTTTATTGCAACAGCGCGATAATTGCATGTGCTAATTAAGCGCGTGTTATAAAATAAATAATTTTTTATTCTAAATTAAATATTTAATTACCAATTTTATCTTTCCTCTTCCTCTCTCTCCAGACCTACAAATTCGTTTTTGACCCATCAAACCACTTGTTTTCTCAAATCTAAGATCATTTTTGAAATCCTTAATCCCAAATTAGTTAGACCCAATCCCCATTTTGTAGCTTTAACAAGTTTTTCAAAGTTTCAGTTTTAAGTTTTCGAACCTTAGTGGTTTTTTCACCACACACACACACACACTTCAGCTATGACTTTCAAGCACTTCAATACGTTGTACTGTAATCCCACAACACAACATAAGCCTCAGTTGAGGAAGAAAATGTTGTTTGCTATGTAATTCATTTGAAAATTTAATTATCTCTTTAAGCTTCAAACACAAATTCGAGCACACACACAACATGAAACTTAAGTCTAATCACACTAATAAAATCCTCATGGAAAAATAAGTCTGAACATGTTTTTTTTATCCGTTGTTTTTTAAAGATTAGGGTTCTACAATGATGACATCACAAAGAAAATTTAATTCTAATTAGGGATAGTTTAATCTTTTTGTATAAACTCTTTGTTGTTTTTTTCTTTTTGAATAAACTCTTTTTTTTTTTACCCTAGAAATTTTAACAGTCAATTCATCCTATTCTTTTTTATGGTTTGGCTTGCTTCAACGTGTTCTGAAGTAGAGACAAAATCAGTTAAGTGCTCTCAAAGTCTTCCCTTCTATCATTTTCATTCAATTTTCTTTGCCAGCTCCAATAAAAGAATTGGGTGTATTGTCAGCAAGTTAATTTTTTTTCACCAACAACTTCTGTTTTCTATCCAACCACCACTCTAACCATTACTCTTCAATACTATCTTCCACACCTTTCTCTTCACCATAATTTCTTCCAATGAATTACCAAATCTTTTCATGGTTTTCTTTCTTCTCTCTCCTCTTCGTCTTGAATCTTTTGGTGGTGATTCAAGTTCCGCGAGTTTCATGTAACCCCGATGAGTGGTACGTGAGCTGTGGCAATACATTCAATTGTGGAACCATCACTGGAGTGGGATATCCTTTTCGCGGGATTGGAGATCCTGAATATTGTGGCTATCCTGGTTTTGTGCTCAATTGTGATCAGGAAAATGTCACAACTATTGCTATTATGAACATAAGTTACAGCGTCTTGGATATCTATCAGGATACACAAGTTATGAAGATTGTTCGGGAGGATCTGATGCAGACATCCTGTCCACGTGATTTAGTGAACACAACCCTGGATTACTCCATCTTTGATTACGCCAATACTTATATGAACCTCACATTTCTCTATGGTTGTCCTCCCTCATCGAATTTTCCTGGTCTTAGCCTTCTTTCTTGTCGGAACAATAATGTCTATGTATTTCCTGGAACTCTAGGACCTGGAAGCTGTAATACCAGTGTCATTGTCCCAGTTCTCCAAACGGGTCCAGGATCATCCGTAAGTTTAACTAGTTTGAATCAAGTTCTTCAGGAAGGATTTGAAGTTAGATGGACGATGGATAGCAAAGCCTGCAGTGAGTGCACCGGGTCAAAGGGACGGTGTGGATATGATTTTCCTACCAATCAAACCACTTGTTTTTGCCTCAACGCCCCTTATGTGGCTAGTAGCTGCAAAACTGCTAACGGATCCTCCCCAGGGTCCATGCCTACACCGCCGGGTATGTACTCCTTTCTATTTGATGAAAAATTCTGGACCCGAGAACCCAGAATTTTTCTTGTAGCAAGTGAAATGACTTCAAATTTGATGTTAGCAGTGGGTATCGTTTTTCCGGGTCACTTGGTTTGCTCCGTTTTGTTGTTTGATTTACATTATGAAATGAGAGGCCTTGCAGATATGATGCTTTCTAGCTTGGAGGGGGATAGAGTGGTGACTAGCTACTTTTGCTAGTTTTAGGTATTGTTTGTAGTGCTTGGAAAGTTAATCGTGTAAATTTAGGTGTGTTGTTTTATTCTTTGGGTTGTGGTCTGATTCTAGTAGATTAGCTTAAAGAGTAACATGGAAGTGAAAGAAAAGGAAGAGGAAAATTAGGGATGAAAATGGACAGGGTCGAAGGAGGAAGCTGATTTGTTTCACCATTTGTGGCTGGACCTTCTTAAACAACTTTACTTAAATAGTGGATCGATTTGATCCGTAATACTAAGTACATAGTATGACATTTTCTTAAATATAAGGTGCAATTGAGTGGACATAGTCAACATATTTATAAATAAACCACTCAAAGCAAACCTTAATTAAGAATGACTTACCTACTAAAAAATATTAATGGTAAAAGTGGATTGGTTGAATATTTGTATTAGAGAATTTTTAAATTAGAGCCAACCAAAGTATATTTAAATATTCTAAAATATTAAAAAAAATAAAAAAATAAAAATAAAAAACATAGCGAGCCTGTTTGAAACTGGCTTAAAATCTTAAATTTTATTTTTATATTTTAGAGGAAAAGAAACTTAATCCCTTTGGACCCGGGCTTATTGGGCTGCATTTCTATCAATTTTTTGGGCAAAAACAGCTTTAATGAACACCAAAGAAAAATTGAAAAATGGGATACGAAAGAAAATTTGACTTTTTTAGAAATACTATAAATGATTCTAAGAGTTTTTTTATTTTGACTTTTTTATTCTTTTTTCAAATTTCTGTTTCACACCCAAAAAAAATCAATTTCAAATAGGCACAATGTTAGTTAATTAGGGTTAAAATATGAGCTTACAATTATAACTTTGGGTTAGCTTGATTGTAAGTCGATTTAGGGTTAAATTTATAATTTGGAGTTACTTGGATTGTGTGGCGCTTGCGGAACTCGCTATCCCAGTATCCCCCGCTGGGTCGGTCTTGATGGGTCTGTAGTGGATTATCCAACACTCTTACCATTAGAGGTGGTAATTTTAACACATTACCCATTAATCCACCCAACTCACCCATAAATAAATAGGTTGGGTATATATATTAATTAATATGGTTTTTAAACGGGTTGGGTAATATGATTCATTTTAATTAAACGGGTTAATATAAATTATAAATGGGTACCATTGGGTTGAATATTTATCTTTTTATTAAATAACAGAAGTAATAAAATTAAATAAATATACTAATATACCAAAAAATACACACATTATTACACCAAAAAAATACATACATATACATATATGCACACTAGTACACAAAAAATACACACACTAACACATACATGACCCACGGATTGACTCATGATCCATGAGTTGACCCATAACCCAACCCGTTATAAACCCAACCCATTTACTAGGTGAGTGAAAAATAGATTTGATTTATTTTAGCCTAATCCAATTTAATTCAATCTATAACCAACTCAACCCACACATTTGTCACCCGTACTTACGGTAGTATGGACCGTGGGCTAGCCACCTAGCTTTGCACTAGCAAATACTAAACAGAGAGTCTATTTGAGAATTATCAACATTTTTGTTCAACAAATCATGCTCACGACTCACGAGGTAGGCGTACTTCAAGCTTAGGTTTGGCCAACCAACTCCCACATGGTTGAAGAAATATATATATAATCCCTTTCCAACTAATTAATGAATTTTTGGCTCACCCACGATCATATGCCAGGGAAGAGTCAATAAGAAATTGACAGCATAACAATATTTAGGATTCTTGCATTTAGGAAATTGTTCTTCTTGTTTCGATAACAATTTTGTGATAGGTTACAACAATACCATACTAATGCTACATGAAAATAGTTTATTGAGGTTGACTATTACTTTGATATGAATTTAAAATTGGCATGATCAACTAACAAAAATATTAAATAAACCAGTTAGTGTTAAACACAGGTAATTCGATTGTGACACGAAAAATCTGTTTATATATTATTATATCAACAAAATGTTTGATTTTTTTAGATTTATTTCATTCTTGATTGTAGGAATCATTGAGAAATTAGAGGGTTTTACTTCATTTTGCTAACATTTGAATGGAGTGGATTTTATTTTATGGGGACGTATGGGTGGTAGGTTTAGTTTAGAAGAAGGGGTTTTAGTTTGTCTTGAATTTTCTGTTCAGGTGTAATGTTTGTCATGTCATGGTTGACTAGTACCCCGTACGAATCCGAGCACAAAATAATCGGACACGAAAATACGATAAATAATAATTCGAGAATTTGCACCTCTATTTTTGTATTCTGATTTTTGAGCCTAATCCAGTCAATTTCGCTTCTGATTCGCATTTTTGTCACTTATTCCTGAATATGTTCTTTTATTGATCATCTTAATATTCTGTTTATAGTCTTGTTGAGTTTGTTGTATTGTTAAATCTGACTAGTGTTTTGGGGGATATTGCAATCCCTTTCAAGATTTCCAATCAGTCAAGCCAACATACATCCCATACTTTTTTAAAATTTTTCTCGGAAAGACGTTTTTCGATACTATTTTTCAACATCATCTCCAAAGATGCCCAAAAATTTTGCAAAGTTGCCTCGTTCCGTCTGAGCTAGTCACAAAAAAGAATACAATCAACTCAATTTTCATTCTATCAGGATCTGAACATTCCTCAAGATGCACTTCTCTCCTTCACCATCTTCCCTTCACTTCATCCTGACAATCATATTGATTTCAATGATAACCCCGACGTTTCTATGTGCTAACGAAGTCCGATATGAAAACTGTGGGGAAAATTTTTCATGTGGAGGCATTAGCAGCATCAAATATCCTTTCTGGGGAGCAAATCGTGCAGATTACTGTGGAAAACCAGGATTTGAGCTCGAGTGCCATGATAACGTACCCCTGATCACTGTCACGTCAGAAAAGTATCGAGTTCTCGCTATCGCTTCCCAACTACATAACCTCATAGTCGTTAGAGATGATTTCTGGAACAACATATGTCCTGCACGTTTGGTTAACACAAGCCTCGAGTCCACAGTCTTCAGCTATGCTTTTGGGCTTCGGAACCTGACATTGTTCTATGGTTGCACTTACAACTCAGTACCTATTTTAGGTAATTCTAGTAAGTATGACTGTGGCGTAAACAGTACTAACTCCAACCTGTTCTATGTGACAACAAATATAACGATCGATCCACGCTGGGGGATGAGCTGCAATGATACTGTCATTGTTCCGGTTTTTGAAGGGAGTGCTAGAGCTCTGGAGGACAATTTTACGAATCTTGGTACAGTAATAGATGGGGGTTTTGAATTGCAGTGGAATGAGAGTGACCAATGCAGCAAATGTGTGGAATCAGGCGGGGAGTGTGGATATAATCGAACTGAAAATCAATTCACTTGCTTTTGCCATGATCAACCATACTCAAATGCATGTCTGACTAGACCAGGTATGTCTGCTTTCAGATATATTTGACACTACAAGCAAAATTCATCTGGCTTTGACTACAACACACAGGCCATGAGGCTAGGAATCCCTAAGATATTATGTTTCATTTAGTTCATGTGCAAGAGCCATAACATATTGTGGGCTGAAAATTAAGAAGGCAATATAGTCGGAGATGGACCGAGTCCGTAATAGGGTAATATAGTCGGGTAATCGGGCCACCCGAGAAGAGCCATGGCCTCCCACGGCCACAGCATGGTTCTGTCCATGACTATTTTGGTTATGTATTCAGAACTTAAGCTTATGATCTATTGGGACCCAATATGAATGCTGGAAACAGGATAATACTTATGACATGGTACTGCTAAAAGGTACATAATCCTGGTTACCTACTTTGGTGGCCACCATTCCCTTTTTCTCCCTTCCTTGTACTTCCCCTGCAGAGAAAGTGTAGAGAAATTGTGCCAAGTCTTCTCGTTTCAAAATTTATTTCAACCATAACTAACTCGTTTTTAATCGTGTTTAGTCAAGGCTTTTTATAATTATATTTAGTTTGATTTGTGATGTGCTCAACCAAATTTATATTAATTCATTATTTGACGAATTTATTTTCGTTTATTACTCCTAACCGCTATGGTTAAAGCCTAAACCCATCAATTCCATGCCCATTTCATATTAGGTTCGCAGGTCTTCGGTTGCATTTCCTTGTCATGAAACTTAATTTTATTGTGATGAAGGTGCAGCAAGGGTGTTGAAACATTCATATTGGGGGTCCACTTATTAGCTTCCATAGACAGATTTTGTTGCCTCTGAAGATGGACTTTGTTGCTTTGGTTCATTAGTCAACCAGCCTGACTTCACTGCACCCACCATTTATTTCCTTGACATTTCCATATCAGCCTGGAAAATTCACCCCGTTTGGCTCCTATAAGTTTCATCCTGCACAACTATTTGATCGCTTTAACTAATACATCCTCTGTTTTTCTGTTTTCTTTTTGGTGAATGCTTTAATACGTCGTCAGAGTCCACAGTGTGAATCCTTTTAAAATATTGGTAATACTTTGTCTTAGAAACAACTAGAGAATTAACTTAAGAAACTGCTACATGTGTGAAAATTTTACATCAGATAGAACAAGAATTGAAATGCGTCTGAATGTAAACTTATAGACTTAAACTTTTTGGTGGTTATGTCTTCCAAATATTTTTCCGATATATATTTCACAAAAATTTTCAGGATAATTTGCTGTTATTTTTCAAGTTTCGTGTTCTACAAACATGGTCAGACTATGAATTTAGATTTTCGGTAGGGGCGGCATGCATTCTATTTAGACTTGGTCAGCTATTTTTTCAATTTCCAGTAGAAGCTTCTCTTAGAAATGTTTTACAAGGTGGCTTAGCAGTCAAAGGTCATTTTCTTCCTCTTATATCATCGTCATTCATGGGAAAACAAGACTTTTTCATCTCCTTCAATTTCAGATCTCCATCCCCAAATTTTACTTGGATTGCACCAAATTCGTCTAAAGTCATCTCTCTCTCTTCTCTCTCTCTCTCTCAAAATCAAAAATGCATCCCAATCTCTTCATGATCATGATCGGAATCTCTATTTTCAGCCACCTTCCTATGTTTCTGTGTCAAGACAACGAGCAATATACAGCCTGTGGTGAGTTGTTTGAGTGTGCGAACATTCAGGGCATCGGTTATCCTTTCTGGGGACAAAACCGGCTACCATATTGCGGCCACCCGCGTTTCAGGCTGAATTGCCAAGGTGATGCCCCCATAATCACAATCCTGTCAATGGATTTCCGAGTCCTGGCTATCGATAACAAAACGCAAACTCTCACAGTTGCTAGACAGGATCTGTGGAGCAATACTTGTCCAATCTTGCTTTACAACACCACCATGGATTTCAACATCTTTAGCTATTCAATCCGCCAGCGGAACATCAGTCTTCATTACGGGTGCACCAGATTTCCAGTACCCTTGCAAAATCAGTTTGATTGCAATGTGAACAGCACCCCCAGTTCTAGTTATTTCACAATGGGAGAAACACCCAACTTTGTCATCAACAATACCACAATTACCTGCAATAGCAATGTTATTGTTCCGGTTAATGAGACCTCGACTGAGATATTGTCAAGCCTTTCGGCTACGACAAATAATCTAACAGCAGCTCTTGACGGTGGTTTTCAGTTGCAGTGGGATGCGAATAATATGTACTGCACCCAGTGCAACGATTCTGGTGGGCGATGTGGGTCTGACTCAAGCAACACATCCTTTGCTTGCTATTGTTTAGATGGATCATATGCTCGCACCTGTCGTAATACGGATCAAACTGGAAAGGGTATGTGTCTCTAATCTTGTGGTTAGTCTTGTTTTGAGTTCAAGTAGGAATTAGTTGAAAGTTAAGCTGCTAAGGCACAGGATCAGTTCAGATTGTTGGCTGGACATTGCTCTAGCCCTCGAACTTCTTATGCCATATCGACAACATTGTATTGTAGATCAAATTGGAGGGCATCTGATTTTCAAGTTTTCTGACTTGGAAACACAGGCCCTGGAATTTGCCAGAACTTGGCCTGGTTTTGAGGATTGCATCTATGGGTGTAGATCGTATGCAATCCAATTAGACCAAGTTAATTTGCATCTTGACTTGGAAGGATGGCAATTTTGATGTTTGGGGAATGGTTTAGAGACTCAACTTGAGTCTGACACAAATCTGCACTTTTTTGTCCCAAAACTACTCTGCACTGTGTATACCACGAGTTTCACTCGACTTGTAATTGACACAAAACTATTTTAGTCAACTCGTATGAATCATCATCATCTACTCAAAGTATCAGCATTCTGACGCTGTGATACCTGAATCCATCATTTACTATGTCCAACTTCTTCTTTTATTCATTAGATTTAGTTCCATGATATTGTAGTCGATACGTCACTGTGCCCTCTGAGTTGAAAACACCAGATCTTGAACCATCCTTGTAAAGGCAGTGGAGTTGCTTGGGTCTGTTTCTGAGCCCTATGTGAACATTTTAGAAAACTCCCTCAAGTACCATGGGGTGTTAAAAGTCCTGTCTGATCATGCTCTACCTTGCACCATTAGTTCCTATCCTTTTTTTCTAGTCCAACCACCCCTTCAACTCCTAGGGCGTTTCAATGAATATTTGGAAAGGGTTTAAATTAGTTTCTCCAAACCCTTCCAAACACAAACACCTCTTTATAAACATGAAATTTAATATTAAATTTAATCTATATTCATGTTTGATATTCAACACATACACATATAGGTCTTACGGATATATCATAATTATTAATAATTATTTATCTTATAAATGATTATTTTACTCCTTGATTAATCCAATTTATACTCCTATTAAGTGTACAATTGTCTTTTCTATCCTTAACCCTTAACTCTTAACCTATCTTTCCAAATTCACCCTCCCTTTAGGTTTCACAAAACTTATGATTATAAGTTTAATATCCAAGCCAACTACGGGACGAGTTTGAAAACCAAGGATTAAATTTGTAATCTAAACATGAAATTTAGGGGTCCTTTGGATTATTTTTGCCAAACCCACCTTATACCCTTTTACCAAACAGTTACTGGTGCTTAGTTCATCCACTCAAAATCAGGGTTTATACGCTAATCAATTCTCCTTACTGTTGTTAGCATGTTCCACTTTAGCTGACTAGTCAACCTACTAGCCTAAATGGACATTTTACGGGTCTTAGTTGGGTTGTATCCTTTATTACGTGGATCAAAAGTAGAGTAATGCTACATGAATTTAAAAAATAGATTTAAAAATTAGATTTAATAATTTTAACCATTGACTTCATTGTAGGTTTCAATATTTATTGGGATTCACTATTTATTTAATAGTTTGATATTTTTAAGTCTAATTTTTAAATTTATCTAGCATTATTTTTAAAAGTAAACTCCGAAAAAATTTAAAAATCATAAGCTGTGACACGAAAGTTGAAAATTTGGATTAAAACATCACATTCATTAGTTGAATATATAATCAAATTGATGAATGTGGACAAATTATATCAATACTGGATTGTGATTGAGATTTGAGAGTTTTTTAATGTCAACGGTTTTACTGTAAGTATTAACAGTTCCCTTTTAAGGGTAGCTTTTTTTATTAAAAATTTTGTCGTTAGTAAGGATTGAGCCTTTTAATCTCTTAATCAACGGAATTTTATGAGAATCGAGGGAGATCAATTAGATTAAGTTCAGTTAATTAGTTTTTGAGTTTCATTTTTTTTAGTTTAACGGTCAGAAATGTCTGAATCAATTGATGCGTAACTCGATTAGTCCACTCTCCAGTTTAGTCAAAGATAGACCATTTTACGCGGAGATTAGGATATTCATAAGGAATAAATTCCTCATGACCTGACCCTAGGAGTGTTCAAATTTTCGATTAGCCACAAATTCTTACCTTATCCGACCCTATTGAATGGCTAGCCGAAAAAATCGGATAGGAATGTGAAATAATCATTAATTTTCATATTCTTACTCTACCTTACTCGCCTAAAAACCCTAATTCTCTAACCATATGATTTAAATTTAAAATAATTATTATTGTATTTGTGCAACATTTATGATAGATTGATATTTATGCTTTCTTGTGTTTTATTGTAATTGTTGTTATAATTGTTTTAGGTTTTAGTGTTATTGGTTTATTGTATTGTTAAATTGGTACATATTATTTAATTGAATTGTTAAAATGACCCAAATATTAATAACTACAAAAGTGTTCACCCGATTTCCTACTCGACTAATTTGGCCGGAAGTCGAATAGGAATACCACACTTGATCAGGTGGGGTAGGTTAAAAAAATAAATTTCATAAAATATCAGGTAAAACGATGAAAGACCATATTTAGAGTTGCTTATATAATGCAAGGATCACCATGATTATTCAAGTTTAAACAAATCTTAAGGGTTTATTTTAAACTTATTTTCTTTATGGGTTGAGGAATAATTGTTTAGGTTAGTCAACAAGTCGAATAGGAGACCAAAGGAAACTAATATATTAAGATTTATGAAGATATTTGTGAAGGAAATAGCCATTAAGTAAAAATTGGTGGGCGATTAAAGCAAGTGCAAATGTGCAACTACTTCTCCTTAATTCAATGTAAGGACTAAAAAATTAGACAATTGCGTTATTTATTGTATTTATGACCCCTCCAATAACATAAAATTATTCATCTGCCCAAAAAGAAAGCCGTCATAAATCTGTCACTTCCGCAACCAGCGAGAAATATTATTATGTTTTTTTTATTTTAAATAATATTTTTTATTTATATGAAAATGTAACATAGTCAAAATTCTGGGGCAGGAGAGTCCGAGTCAAGCAAAGACAGCTCAATAATTCAACGTTGAGACACCCACCACCCTATTACCAAACACCATCTCTCTCTCTCCCCCTTCCACCATGACCCTCCACATCCAAAATGCCAGTCCCTCACTTCTCAACCCCGCTTCTCTTCTCTCCGGTAATCGTCGCCGTTATCCTCATCTTCTCCGGCCACCTAGCACAGTCGTTTTCCTCCGATGTCACCTATGCCGACTGTGACCGAACCTTCTCATGCGGTTCCATCAGAAATATCTCTTACCCATTCACCGGAGGCGACCGGCCAGACCACTGTGGCCTGCCGGAGTTTCGACTCAGTTGCTGGAACAATCAAACCGAATTCACCACCAACTCAGTCACTTACCGAGTTCTCCAAATCAACCAAACACAAAAAGCCCTAGCTCTAGCCCGTTCAGACCTCTATAACACCACCTGTACTCAACAATTCGTTAATTCAACTTTCAATCTTTCTTTTTTCACTTCGGGCGTCGAAAATGAAGCTCTCACGTTGATTTATGGCTGTAATTCTTCGCTTATGACTGTGAAACCACATAATTTATTCACCTGCAATGCGAGTGGTGTCAATTTCACCGATTCTTATTACTTGGTCGGACCGGTTCCAAGCGATCCGATATTGAATCTTTTTTATTGTAGGGTTAGTGTTAGGGTTCCGATGCTCAGGACTGTGGGTGATAGGCTTACTAGGAATCGGACAACTTTTGGGGAGGCTTTGGCTGAGGGTTTTAATCTGAGTTATAGTGACCCGTTTGACAGACAGTGCTCATTTTGTACTGAATTTGGTGGGCAATGTGGGTTTGATACGAATTTGGGTGAGCCAATTTGCATCTGTGACAACAAGCCATGTCCTGCGCCAGAAGGTAGTTTGAACTTTCCACTGTGATCATAATGCATATTTACTTGTGGTAATTTGAAAATTTTGGAAAAAAAAAATAAGAAGTTAATGATGGAATTGTGATCAAATTATGTACTAGTATTAGTGCTCATGTGGAATTGAAAATGGAGGAGAGAGTTGTGATGTAGACCAGGCAAGTACAGGCTCAAGCTGTAGAGCTTGGGTTTTACATGGGGATATGTAGTCACTTTCATCAATGGGGCCTCATTTTGTGGCAATTTATGTAGATATATGCATGCCTCTTGTTCTCTCTCTCTCTCTCTCTCTCTCTCTCTCTCTCTCTCTGTTTTTTAGGTTTTTGTTTGATTTATGTGTTTTTTGTGTGTGTATGGTTGGCTCTATACAGTTCTGGCGTTGCCGATTATCACAACCTTGGTCTAAATTGTCTTTTTTGCAATTTTCCCAATTACCTCCATTTATCTGTCCTCTTCTCTTTCTTAAATATTTCTTGTATTGTCCCTGTATCTATTCTTAGAATTTCAGCATGTCGTGTGTTTCTAGTGTACATAGTACTACTGCATGATGACATATTAAAGAATATGTAGCTTCCAAATTGTTGTGCCTCTTTCAGCTGGAAATATAATCTTTGCCTCGCTTTTGAAATTGGCACCCATACTTATTTTTTTGTTAGGCTACTCTTGTATACGATTTCTCGTTATTGATGCGTCCTTTGATTGGGTGAGGCATGTTATAAAAAAATTGCATATCTAGCAATAGCCATGTTGATCAATATATGTGCTTTCCATTGGAATGTATCTGCGGAAATGTGCTGTCCTTGATACGTTTGTTCATCAAATGGCCCCTAAGCATCTATCATAACAAACATTCTATTTTATCCTTTTACACGAAAGGGTGCTGAAAAGTAACCATCACTTGTTTGTGGTCATTCCAGAGGATTTGACTAACTAGCTCAGCAGCTATTCCTCAGCATGCTCTCCACTTCTGTATGACCATGTTTGCAATTTCATTTATTTGGTTATGACCCGCATTTCTGGATTTTATTATTGTTGCAGGCAAGAGTGATCGGACCCGAACAGCTCTTATTATAGGTAATGCGTCTATCTGTTGGAAACACAAATTAATGTTTGTCACATATGTAACACTTCAGAAATAAAATTTTACTATTTTCTTTTATTCCAGGCCTTGTCTTAGCAGGTGCAGCTGTTGCTGGCATTGGTGCAGGATGGTTAGTCTTCTTTTCTAGACAAAGGAGAAAACGGCTAGCCGCACATTCTGCTGAAACTGAAAGCAAAGACCTCCTAACTATTCCTTCAAGCAAAGGCCTTGCTACTACTCCTTCAACTGCTTTCACTCGAAGCATCCCTTCTTATCCCTCCTCTAAATCTGACTTTGGAAAGGAAAGCACCTACTTTGGAGTTCAGGTCTTCAGCCACACTGAACTTGAAGAGGCCACTGATAATTTTGATCCTTCTAGAGAGCTTGGAGATGGTGGCTTTGGAACTGTTTACTATGGTATGAGGATACATTTTTTGTATTTCTCACAAGTTGGCTAAACAACTCCAACATTTCAATATGTAGCTATGTCTTTTCTGAACTTCTATTTCAATTCTTTGCAGGCAAGCTCCATGATGGTCGCATAGTTGCAGTTAAACGCCTATATGAGAACAATTTCAAGCGTGTAGAGCAGTTTATTAATGAAGTTGAGATCCTCACACGATTACAGCATGAGAACCTTGTGAAGCTCTATGGATGCACATCAAAACGAAGCAGAGAACTCCTCCTTGTTTATGAATTTATCCCTAATGGAACAGTGGCTGATCATCTACATGGAAGACGTGCAAATTCTGGTCTGCTCTCTTGGCCTATCCGGTTGAAGATTGCCATAGAGACCGCTGGAGCACTGGCTTACCTCCATGCATCGGACATCATACATCGTGATGTTAAAACGAACAACATTCTCCTGGATAATGATTTCCATGTGAAAGTGGCTGATTTTGGGCTGTCCAGATTGTTCCCCAATGATGTCACGCATGTCTCAACTGCTCCACAGGGGACACCTGGCTACGTTGATCCTGAGTACTATCAATGCTACCAGCTCACTGAAAAGAGCGATGTTTATAGCTTTGGGGTGGTTTTGATTGAGCTAATCTCATCATTACAAGCGGTAGACACCAATAGGCACCGTCATGATATCAATCTGTCTAACATGGCTATCAACAAGATTCAAAATCGTGCATTGCACGAGTTGGTCGATCCAACTCTTGGATTTGAAAAGAATACTTCAGTGAGGAGGATGACTACGTTGGTGGCGGAGTTAGCTTTTCGATGTTTACAACAGGAGAGGGATATGAGGCCTTCAATGGATGAAGTGCTGAAGTCTTTGAAAGGAATACAGAATGAAGAATTGAATTCCCTAGCAGCTGAGGTTGTGGACATCTTGGTGGATGACATTGCTCTTTTAAAGGATAGCCATCCCCCACTTTCACCTAATTCTAGTGGTTGAGAATTCCTTCTCATTTTTTGCTTAAATTTTGAATGAAGATGTCAGGAGTGTTGCTAATCCTCTTGATCAGATGTCGCTAAGTGGGTTAGAATTTCTTTTCTTTTTGTCTACTTGGTTTTTATTCTGTTGTAGCTGAAATATATTTGACATATTTGACGAATGCAAACTTGAAGGCAATGTACATAGTAAAAGGAGCTGCCAATAACCTTGTAGTCTACAAGTTTTTTGTATGTATTTGTATTTTACACTTGTTTGGTAGTTTGTGTATTCTGATGTAATTTTTAATGTGAACTAAGCTTTTATAGGGATGTCTGAAGTACCCCTTGAAAATCCTTGTTGTGTTTGTATGTATATTGCACTTGATTTGAAAAGGGACAGATTGGTGGTAATTAGTGTTGGACCAAAACACATTTTTGCTTCTAAAAAATGATTTCTGGTCAATTTTGAGTCTAAAATAAAGTAGAACCTACTTGTCATTTTGGGTAAATTTTTGCGCATTTGTGTTCTACTCTACAAGTAGATTAATGTGATCCACTCAAATAAAATGTGAATGAGAAAATAACTTCTGAAGTGATCCACTTGAAATATGAAAAATAGTCACTTCACTTGAAATATGAAAAATAGGGTTCAGAATATGTGAGAAGAAACACCAATTTGTTGGGTAAGAAATTTTAATGAGCATATGTACTACTGGTTTGCTTTACAGGTTAGGCCCCGAAGGGTATCTCACTTTTGTGGACAAAAGAAGACCTAGATGAACTTGGGTTCTGCTACATATATATGTGCCAACCGCCCTGCTATGGGGTGTGGGTGTGATCCAACCCTTATCTTTTTGGCTAAAATTCGTATATTTTGTGTCATTACATTTTTCATATGGCAGTAGAGAGTGTTAATCAGAGTATACAATAAGCAACGATGTGAGGGAGAAATTTGACTTAAGGACATAAAGTCAAACATTAACCTTGATCAAGTTAAATATTCATTTTTGTTCTGCAATTGGGTTATTTAATTATTTGTTATTGTTTTTTGTTGCATGACTTATATCAAAAATATCAATAAGTTTACGGCTATTTATGATACATCCTCCCAACAATTTGGAGGCGATCTCTGCAATGTACTGTCATGTTTTTGTGTTTATTCATTTGTCCCATAAGAAAGTAAAAGCAAACTAAAAAAAAGAAAGAGAAAACTATCTGAGAAAATGAGTTCAGGGTTCTATTTTTTCTGTTTATGCTCTTGGTTCTCAAGAAATATCTTGAAAAACATTATAGATAAACTATATTATTGTCCTAATTTTCTATCAATTTGCTCTCTAATTTTTTAATTGTATCAATTTTATCCTCTTTTTTATTTTTTTGAAATGGAAACGATTTTATAAATTCATGAACTCGAAGAGGTTACAACAAAAGGAATATAGACTGTCATCCTTCCAAATACAAAAGTCTGAGTAATTGACAGCATATCTAGCAAGACAGTGGGCAGCTGAGTTTTCTTGCCTACGTACCCAGGAGGTCGATAAACTTAGCAGCCTAGTTGAGTAGTCTCGGATTTCATCCACAGTATTTCCAAACTCAGAGGACTCCATATTCCCCAGATTCAGAGTGCATCAATAATTTGCCTTAGAGCCTCCTTAAAAAACCAATTGCCTCCACACTTTCTACACTAAACACCCCATTAATCTTTTTGCTCAACCCCATTACAAGCCTGTCATTTTCATCACAAAAGACTACCCCAACTCCAGAGATCCATCCTTTCTGAATATCGCCCCATCAAGTTTGCTTTTACTGTACCTGGCCTGGGAGCAACCCAATGCCTTCTGTCCCTTCCAACTGGACTTGAATGTGTAACAGGGAAGCAGGAATTACGGGATACAAACTGATCAAGGTAGTTTATAGAAAACTCTACCACTTCACCTGGAGATTTAGTGTCGTCATCCTTTCTTCTGATTGAACCAGACATTCCACGCAATAACAGCCAACAAAGACATTTTGTCTGGATACAAAGACTTGAGGGAAGTGAGCACCCATTCTTTAAATGATAATCTACCACCCAAAGGTATGTTCAAACCAATAATGTTCCAAACCTCAAATCAAACGGGCACTGAACCATAAGATGATAGATTGATTCATTGGGCGATCCACATAGATAACAAACGTTATCCACAAGCATCTTTTTTCTAAGAAGATTACATTATGTGGGGGGAATACCATGTAAAGCCCTCCATATAAAATGTTTGACTTTGTTAAGGACATTCAAATTCCAAAAAAATCTTCCTGGCCAACCTTCTATGTCACTGCTGGATATTGAAGGCCGTTCTCCATTACAAAATGTTTGCCCGATCTTGTGTAATGCCAAATCAGCTTGTCCCATGGGAGTAGTTCACAAATAGGTATAGAAGAAATTATCTCTGCATCTGCTTCAGTAAATCGATTCAACATCCAGCAGAGAGCTTACTCGAGTATCTTCATTTAGGTCCATAAGAGGACTAACAACTTTAACGGTGGATGGTCTAGGTTAACATGGATCGCTTCTCACCTTAATTTCTGGTCCGTTACCTACTCTCCATCTCATTCCTGCCTTGATGACCTTTCTAGATTCCAGGATACTGCGCCATGTAAATGAAGGCTGGAAACCCAGTTGAGCTTCCATCAAGGTTGAATTGGGAAATATTTTGCCTTTAATACCTTAATAACATCGAATTTTGGTTTTTCAATAATCCCTAAAATTGTTTAGCCAGAAGCGCTAAATTGAAAGCAGCAGTTAGGTTTCTGAAGCCTAATCCTCCCTTGCTTTTTGGTAGGCACAACATGTCCCATGACATCCAATGGATCTTTCTTGCATCATTGTTACTTCCCCATCAAAAGTTAGCCACTATGTTGTTCAATTCAGAGATATGTAGTTTAAAGCAAGACATAGCATGAGAGGGCATAACTTGCACTACGGCTTTGATGAGAGTATCGATTCCCACTTTCGATAATAATTTCTCCTTCCAACCTTGCATCTTGACCCATACCCTTTTGCTTTATTGAGTTGAAAATATCTTTTCTTGGATCTACAGGTGATTGAAGGGAGCCCCAAGTATTTTTCATGGCAGTCGACCACAGGAATCCGCAATACTTCTTTTATTGAATCCAAATAGCTGGGCTGACGTTCTTGCTAAATGCCACAACAGATTTGAGAGATTAATTTTTTGCTCGATGCCATCTCATAAAGACAAAGGCATTCTTTTTACAACCATCCCATTCTCTTTAGTAGCACTGGAAAACAATAAGCTATGTTTGCAAGTAGAAGATGGGTGAAAGTAGGGCCACCACATCTAGTGCAACCCTTGCAAAGCATCTCTCTCCTCAGCTTGCGAAAGTAAACTTGAAAGATCTTCAGAAATAGAAAAACAAATACAGCATTATGGGTCTCCTTGTCTCAGACCCCTCTTTGGGTGAAAGTACCCATCTGTTCGTCATTGATCAAAACCGAGTAGGACACTGTGTTTACGCATGTCATAAACAGTTTTGTCCATTTAGAATGAACCCTAGTTTTAGCAATATTGCTTCCAAGAAGTCCCACTCGACCCTCTCGTATGATTTACTCGTATCTAGTTTCAACGACATATATTCCCCCCCCCCCCCCCCCCCCCAGTTTTCTGCCTCATATAATGGTTAGTTCGCAGGCAATTAAAACATTATCTGTAATTTGACGTCCCGGAACAGATGCACTTGAAAGTCTAAGATTACTGTCGAAAGGATCCTTTTTAACCTATTCACAATGATTTTGTAAATATCATTGCATAGGCTAATGGGATGAAATTGAGTCATATCCAACGGGGATTTTGTCTTGGGCACTGTTGGAGTATAGATAGTCTAGTTTATTAGGATTTCTTTTCCCTTTTTTACCCTTACTATGATTTTTATATTTTGCCTAAACTACAAGGGTGTTTAAGTCACTCTGTATTATTTTTGGATATATATACGGGGCTCTACTCTTAATTTGAGTATCCCTTTTCATTCACAACTATCTCAAGTTGGTATCAGAGCCAAACTTAAAACACTAACCCTAACCCTAACCTCCAGCATACTCAGCAGCCACATCTCCCCAGCAAGCAGAGAAACCACCCAAGACATCAACACCATAAACAAGTTGAATAATATCACCGACCAGCCACAATCAGTCTCGAGTTGAATAATATCACCGACCAGCATACCACAAACCAACATATACCATTGCACCGATCACCATAAAGCACCGAGCACCGACAACACAATCAGTCCACCGACTGAAGCGAAACACACTGTCCACCGACTGAACCCATTGCACAACTAAACCCATTGCACAACTGACCGTTCAAGACCACTACTGCCTTCCCACCGAAACAAGCCTTCCACCGACTGCCTTCCTACCTATCCTCATAACAGTCTTTCAGCCTCTAGTCGTTCCACCGAAACAAACAAGTTGCAGCCACCAGCCACCCCACTGCCACCAAACTGCTGCCACAAACCAATACCCAGCAAAACCAAGAAGCACCGAAACACCCCATACCATATACACCGACAACCGATTGCCCAACCACCCTAGCATCCCAGTACTACATCACTAAAACTCCAAACACATACCCAAGAACACAAAGCCACCGAAAAAATACACCCATATATATCACATACCCATCGATTGACTATCCAAAGGAAACCAACTGCTCAACCGAACAGACCAGCCAATATAACCCACTACCTAATAAACCCAGCCAATATAACCTAGCCTATTGTTGGGTCACTGCCTAGCCCGCTGCCTGGTCGTGTTGATCTGCTCTTGATGCAGTAGATCATTTATATTTATTGGATTTCTGGGCACCGTGACTTGATTATTTGGGAGCTTTTTGGACCTTCCTTATTTGTCGCTACTGTTCGACTGAAAGTATATTGTTCTCCCTTATTTTATTCCTCTATTTATCTTAGAGTTATTTTTCTGTCACGGGTGCCCTAGTATTGTTGTTGATATGACTACTACTGAGGGACTTGAGAACCCTACTATTGACACCTCTACCGTTGAGACATCTATGGGTACTTCCACTTTTATGTTTGACTAGTATACAGTGTCTACTAGCACAGTTGCATTACCAGCATTACCGGGCATGATCTCTCAAAAAGTTACGGCACAATTGTTGAATGGTCGTAACTTCGCTGAGTGGTCACGCTCATTCCAGCTTTTCTTAGGCCGTGTAGGGAAGCTTGGTTGGCTGACGAGATCTCACCCAAAATCAGCTGATGCCGACCCTGGATATTCTGCGTGGTTCTCTGAAAACTGTGCCATTTTTGGATGGTTATTTGGCTCAATGGAGCCCTCTGTTTGCAGGATCCACCAGTTTCATAGCTCTGTTTCGAAGCTATGG